ACTGTTTCCAATTACCAAAGGAACTCTGCTCCGAAATCGATAGTATGATAGCGAGGTTCTGGTGGGGATCTACAAAGGAAAAAAGAAAGCTCTCCTGGATAGCATGGAGTAAGATGGGAACTTCTAAAAGGAGTGGTGGTTTAGGATTTCGCGATTTACACTTGTTTAACCAAGCCCTTTTAGCGAACCAAGTCTGGAAAATATTACAGCGACCAAAGTGTCTTCTATATCGCATCCTTAAAGGTAGATATTTTAGAGACGGCAATCTATTCTCTGCCTCAAGAGGAGTCCAGCCTTCCTATGGATGGAATTCACTACGGTTTGGTAGAGACCTACTCAAAACGAGAATCCAAGTGGTCATAGGTGATGGAAAATCAACAAAACTGGGCATTGATCCTTGGCTACCAACTACACCACCACGTCCTCCTTTGTTAACAGTAGGTTCAGACTTTGAAATAACAGTGGCACAGCTCATAAATCCAACCACCAACCAATGGGATGAGAATGAAATCCAGAGACTAATCCAACCACCAGATCGTCATCTTATATACAAGATTTATCTTCCCCACAAGGAAACATCTGATTCATACCTCTGGAGCCCGGCCAAGGATGGGAAATACTCGGTAAAATCTGGCTATTGGACTGCTGTTAACAACAATCTCGATGACGACACACCAACACCTCCGTTGGCAAATAATCCGGATATTGCAATGAGCATTTGGAAATTAAGTATCACCCCTAAGTTAAAACATTTCATTTGGCGAATGGCCTCAAGAGCGATAGGCACTGCGGACAACTTACGAAGACGTAACATAAACGTGAACCCTTATTGCGCCAGATGTTGTACAGAGATGGAGACGAGCGACCATACATTTTTCTCCTGTCCTCACGTCGCTGCCGTATGGAGAGCTGCTGGTTTTCCTACTCACGAAATCTGCGATCCGAGTAAACCACTGGAAGAAAAGCTAAGAATCATTTTTCATCTGCATAACGATCCAAATATCAACAGACCTACACGGTTTCTTCCTTTTTGGTTGATGTGGCGGGTATGGAAAAGCAGGAATGATCTAGTCTTTAATCGGAAAGCCAATTCAGTTCTCGACATGGTCAACCAAGCCACTATCGATACCAAAGAATGGTTAGACAACGCATATGGCACAGAAACAATCAGTCGCTCTACACAACGGGTAACGACGCGGAGTATGAAATGGAGTAAACCACCACAGGGGATAATGAAGTGTAACTATGATGCCTCACACCGTGAAGGAGAGCAGGAATCGGGACTTGGATGGATCATCCGCAACTCGAACGGCACTTTTCAAGAGTGTGGAATGGGTAAATACCAAGGACGAATGACAACGGACGAAGCAGAGTGCACAGCTCTAATATGGGCACTCCAATCAACTTGGGCTCTAGGATATAGAATGATAGAGTTCGAGGGAGACAACTACAATATCAACCGGCTCATCAATGGCATGGAATCAAATCCCCGACTTCAACACTATCTTGATACAATTTGGGCTTGGCGACAATTGTTTACCTCTGCAACTTTCAACTTCAGGCATAGAGAGCAAAATTCTTGTGCTGATCTTTTAGCAAAAAAATCAATCAGTTGTAATAACCATTGGTCCATTTATCGTTGTTGTCCTCGGTTTCTAGAAAACCATGTAAACAATGATGTCGATTACTCAGCTTAATAAAGTTTTTGGAAGGCAAAAAAAAAAAAAAAAATTATTACATAAAATAAACTATGTTTTAAAATTATGTTAAAACAATTTAAGAATAAAAATATAAAAAAGAAAAATTATGATTAAAAATACTTTTGAAATATTTTTATGCATATAAAGTTATTTATAAGTGATAAAATACATAATGAAGAGTTATAATATAGAGATGTGAAATTCTAGCGGGTTAAAACCAAAAAGACATAAACAACGTAACCGGAAAAATTATTGTCAACGGATATGGTAACCGTCAATATTTTAACGAAGAGTTGCAATAAAATGACATAACCGAGAAAAAATAACCGTCAATATTTTAACGGAAAGTTATGATAAAAAGACACAACCGAGAAAAAAGAACTGTCAATATTTTAACAAAAAGTTGCGATAAAAAGACAAAACCAAAAAAGTAACTGTCAATATTTTAACAGAAAGTTACGAGAATAAGACACACACGAAAAAATAACCGTCAATGAAAAATGTAACTGTAAATATTTTAACGAAGATTTGCGATAAAAATACACCACCGAAAAAAATAACAGTTAATATTTTAACGGAAAGTTACGATAAAAAGACATAAACAAAAAAAATTAACCGTCAATATTTTAACAGAAAGTTGCGATGAAAAGACACAACCAAACAAATAACCGTCAACGAAAAAACTAACCGTCAAATTTTAACGAAGATTTGCGATAAAAAGACACAACCGAGAAAAGATAACCATCAGTATTTTAACGGAAAGTTGCGTTAGGAAGACACAACCGAGAAAAAATAATCGTCGATATTTTAACGGAAAGTTACGAAACTAAGACACATATGAAAAAATAACCGTCAATGAAAAATGTAACTGTAAATATTTTAACGAAGAGTTGCGATAAAAATACACCACCAAGAAAAAATAACAGTTAATATTTTAACGAAAAGTTGCGATAAAAAGACACAAACAAAAAAATTAATCGTCAATATTTTAACAGAAAGTTGCGATAAAAAAACACAACCAAACAAATAACCATCAACAAAAAAGTAACCATCAAATTTTAACGAAAATTTACGATAGAAAGACACAACCGAGAAAAGATAACCGTCAGTATTTTAACGGAAAGTTGCGATAGAAAGACACAACCGAAAAAAAATAATCGTCGATATTTTAACGGAAAGTTGCGATAAAAGGACACAAACGAAAAAAGTAACCGTCAACATTTTAACCGAAAGTTACGATAAAAAGACACAATAAAAAAATAACCGTCAACGAAAAATGTAATAACTTACAACAAAAGATTGGACTTAACATCTACACACTAATATTTTTTCGCGATTGATTATTTTCTTCTAACATGAATGAATCGCTCTTCATCATCTTATGAATTATGATGCACTGGTTTTAAGCAAAAATGATTAAATTGAATATATGACAAAAATAATACAAACCAGACACAAGAGACCCTCCGTGTCAACCAGAAGCTCTCTCTTACTTAGCTCACAGTCTTCTGTGTCTCTGTCACTTTTAGGGTTCTACACTTTTACTCCACACTTCCACAGTTTGGGTACAGACTCTTTCTTCTTCCCTCTTTTGGTACTAAATTGAATAATTGATTCTCTCATTCCAGTATCTGTTGACAAATCTTATTCTTGATAGTTACTTTTCTATGTTCATGTTTGTTTACAGTTCTACTTTTTCTTACAGGTTTCTGAAATTGCAGCAATCAGCAAACATGGCACCGAAAAACAAGACATCAACCATGATTTGGGTACGGACTCTTTCTCTCCTTTCGGTACAAAAATTGATAAAGTTTAAATTTGTTTTTATCGAGTTCTTGAACTGGATTTGATTCCCCAGTTTCAATTCAAGATTGTTTGTTATGCGATTAATCTTCTTTGTTCATGTTTTAATTTGTCTTTTAGGTTAGGAAATCGAAACAATCAGCAAACATGGCAAAGGAAAAGAAGAGATCACTGCTAGAATGATCTCCTCTTCTCGAAGACGAAGAGCTACCGAAAAGTTCCAAGGTACCAACTCTTTTCTCTCTTCTTAATCTTTATGATTTCATGTAAAAAGATTTTGTGATCTCTGATAGTCTGATGTTATGGTGATGTTCTACGTTCAACAGTTTGTAGTTCTAAACTATCCCGTTGCCCTGTTGTCGCTTTGGAAACCGTGTCTAGATGTTACTAGATCTTGTTATATCACACGGTGAAGGTGAAGGTGTAGAATTCAGAGTCATCAGATTTTACTTGGACGTCGCAGAATGATTGCAAAAGGCTTTATTACCAGCTTCCCTGAAGTGTTCTTGAACTTACTTTGCTCCATTTTGGCAAGCTGTGAATGATGTCTTTGGTGGTCAAACTAGTTACTAGTGTCTGAGCTATAAGACAGGGGAAGACAGACACACTGTTCTCCTCTTCGATCAAAAGGGGGAGAAAATGCAGCTTCGATTTTCGTTTGTGTGATGTTTTGGCATACTCCGGTCTAACTTGTTGGGCTAATGTGTCAAAAAAAGCAGTGTTAATAATCATTTGAAGAATTATCAGAGTAGAAAGCAGTTTCTTGTTTGCTTTCTTTCAGGTATGTTTTATCTTTTGGCTTTAAAATGTTTTGATTCCTTTTAGCATTGACAATAGATTTTGGTGTATTTCTATATAAGCTTTCTTTGTTCATTAGATAATCCTTGGTATTAAAAATGCTTGTTTTGGGTTAATCAGGCATGTCATTGACGTCAACATGGTCACCTTTTAACTTCTGTGAATCACATTTTGCAAAAGATTAAGTGTGTTGTTGTAAGTTCACAATTTGCAATCAATCCTCTTCCACATGTGTGTTTGTTCAGTTGGGACAGCAAGTTGATGATGTCCTTGAATCTCATATGGTTAATTCATTTAGTTAACATAAACCCATTGAACCATGTCCGATAGAGATTTAAATCTTTTTGCTTTCAACATGAACATGATTCGTGTGCTTTAATATACTCTTGTTTCTCTTTTGTAGTTGGTGTACGCTCAACAAGGCCACGGGTATCACTTCAAGCATGTCGAGCTCTGGTCTATCTAGAGTGTTGTTATTTGGTAGATAGAGTGAATTGTTCCTCTCTACGCTAAAGTCGAAATTTGTACAGTTTGCCAAAACGAGAATTGTGTTGCATACCAGAATCAAACTTGTATTCAAAGTAATAATGTGAATATGAATTTCATAAGATCTAACTGCAGGGTATACATAGTGATACATAAAAGATAAACCCTAATTAGTAGTATCTTAAAGTCTACGACACTATAACAATTGTGAAACCCCTACATTAACGACATGATCACTACAAAAACAAAAACAAAACCTAATTTGAAACCCTAACTAGACTTCCAACACACGGATCAACTAAAATATACAACCATACACACACAAAAAAGCCATGTTTTGAAACCCTAATTATTAGACTCTGTTTCACTTTTGCTACTGGTAAACAGGTTGGCGACAGAGAGGGCATGAATTTTGTTGTCGATTCAACCACTCGTTGAGACAACCTTGATGAAACAGATGCGGACAATGATGCATATGGTAGATAGATCCCGACTCCAACATATCCTCCAAACAAATCGCACAAGTCTCTGTTTCTTCTTCTTCGGTCTCAGTGTCCAGCAAATCTGTTGTCGACGGAGCACAGTTACAAGACACGACTTTGTATACCTTGCGTGTAAATCTGACGGAGACTCCCATGAATAAAGGTTGTTGTGGCAAGTGATCAGAACTTTGATCACTTCTTAGCTCCTGTGCTTTAACAACAATCTGGTCAGATATTTGTTTGGACAAGACATGATCGTGGAGTTGGGTATGGACAAGTTGATAGAGGTAGTTTGGTTCGAAGCTTTGGAAATTCAGATAGATTAGTGGGTCGGAAGGAGGAGAGTCCGGATAAGAGCCAAGACTCGTTACACTATCATCGTTCTCGTCTATGAGAAATTCCTCGACGTTTCTGGGTCGAATGATTATTAACTCGTTTAAGAAGCCTGAAGATGGAGTAAAAAACAAAGCCGTTACATTAACATCGACGTTGAGTGATTTGGTTTCCATTATCTGAGAGTGAAATTAAGATAACAAATTCAGAGAAAGAGAGATGATATCAGTCGTAAGAGATTGGAAATAAGAGAAGAGATTGTTGTGAAATAGGAAATTGTGGAGAAGTCAAGTGTAATGTTATGTTTTTATAAGCAAAAGTCTGATTATAATTTCCTTTTTTTTCAACTTTCCTCTTGTTTCCTTTTTTTTCTTTCTCCAAAAGTATTTTTATTGTTGTTGTATTTCCATTTTTCAATTTTAATGTATCTCACTATACCATAGCTTAAAATTGTTTCCCGGTTTAAGCTCAATATACCGAATCTGTAATAATGTCTTATGAATTTCCTTCATGTTCGTCAATCTCCTCTGTTTTATCCTCTGCATCGAGCTTTTTTGAACAAAACTGTAATTGGGCTTGGGCTTTTAACAGAAAAGACAGCCCATCTTCTCGCCACTTAACCCAATTTCAATCTTAAACCGAAGACTAACCAAGAGATTGAACCAATCCTCAACCATGTGAAAACCATCATGCTATTTTAGTGTGCTCTTCTTCTCTGTGAGAGTGTGAATTTGTTGTTCTTAAACTTCTAAACAAGGGTTTTGGGTACGATTCAATCTTCTTCCCCTTTGCTAAATTCTAGAAATTAAATTCGATTCTCTGCTTTCAGTATTTGTTGGCCAATGAATCTTCTCTGATCATGTTTGTTTGCAACCATAGAAGCTTCCTTTTTTTTGTCCTTCGAAAAATGATACATCATACAAAATGCTAGACTCTTCTATCCTCGCTGATTGTGTACGTTTGCTACTGTGCTACTGCTTAATTTCTGAGTTTCAATTCTGGTTATTGTAGTTTGGTATATGTATGCATTGTTGAGAAGAAGATTTGAGTCAGATTATCTGTTTTTCTTCAAAAATTTGATTTGATTGTTCAATGTTTGCTGTTTCCGTCTCCATGGGCAAGAGTTTGAGTTCAGAAGTTTGATTGGTGTATTGTTGAGAAGAAGATTTGTTTGTTTCTGGGAGATTTGATTTGATTCTCCGTTTTTCAATGTCTGTTGCCGAATTCTGGTTATTGTCTATATTGTGAGAAGAAGATTTGAATCAGCTTTTCTGTTTTTGTTCAAAAATTGCAGTTGTCTCCAATGGAAGAACCTGCAGCGAAAAAGCACACATTTTCCATGCCAGACTGGTCTCTTCTCCCTGAAGAGTTACTCAACCTTGTCTCCAAGCATCTAGACGATTACTGTTTCGATCTTATCCATGCTCGCTCTGTTTGCACCTCGTGGCGATCTTCATTCCCTTTTCCTTCTTCTCTGTTACGCCCAAGTTACTCTCTTCCCTCTTTCACCAAGTTCCCTCGCAAAAGCAAAGGTTTTTGCACCCTCCAGAAGGTCCCTTTGTTCCTCTTTAGAGTCCGTTCTCCCGCTACTGCTGCTGTGTCGCCTTCTAAGTTTTTTCTGGGAGGAATAAACCGTGATAAGTCAAAAGATCATATGGAGCTTCTTACATCTTCCCTTCAGTGTTCAGTGAGAGTGAAAATCCCAGGATCTGAGCCAACCTTGATGAACATTCTCGACTGCCAGATCCTCCCTCTCGGTAACCAATACAGAATTATAGGTTGGGATCCTGAAGAACAGACAACAGTTTTTCTTCCGCTAAGCAAGGATGGAGGAGGAGGAGAATTCGTTGTGCTTCTCAACTACTCTTACCTTTTACTAGCATTAACAAGTTCTGAAATGAGGTGGAAGTTGGTTATGGACGTCCCAAATACATCATGCACGGAGTTAGTCACTTTTCGAGGCAGATTTTTTGCAGCCTTTCTTCTCGGGGAGGTTTACGTTATCAATCCTTGTTCGCTGGAAGCGACTAGCCTGATGCCGTCTGAGCCTCTGTGCTCAAGCAATTACCTGATTCCATCTGGCAATGATGAACTTTTTTTGGTTGAGGTAATCGTTCCTATGGGATTAAATTTCAATCGGTTCAAATGTAGAGTGAGTAGGCTAGATGAGAAAGCTGGAAAATGGGTTGTGGTCAGAGATTTGGGAGACCGTGTATTCTTTATTGGTGGACAGTTTCGAAATGTCTGCTGCTCGGCTAAGGAGCTTCCTGATGGTTGTGGTGTGAGTGGAAACTCAATTTTGTTCACCTTTGGGCCACGCAATGTAACTTGCACCTATAAATATGGAGTACATACAGGGAACGAGGAAGACGACCTCAATTGGTGGAGATGCGTAAGTGAGAATCCTGTGAGGATCTTCTACATTAAGCCAGAAAATCTCACTTTGGATACCGAAGACATCTGATGGTTTTGTATGATTTTTGGTAAAGATAGTGTCAGTCTTAAATCCTTGTTATGAATTGGAAACACAGTCGTGTGTATGGAAATGGTCCATCTCAAGTCGTGTCTGGCTGTGTTCTTGGTAGCACACGGTCATGTGTTTGACAAAAATTCTCCACTTTTGAAAGATGTCTATTTTCTCGATCTGCAGCTGATGCACGATAGCCTTTGACCACATCTGTTTTGAATTACCAACAACGAAATGGAACCAAAACACCTTCTCTTTATCAAAGGTCCAAAAGCCCAATAGAAAATGAAAAATGAAAATAAAGAATTCTGTCTTCTCTTGACAATTTCTATCCAACTCGGGTTAACTAACTACTGTTGATTTTAAAAGAAAGCACATGAGACCCTCCATTTCAGCCAGAAGGTCTCACTTACTTAACCGTCTGTGTCTCTGTCACTTTTAGGGTTCTAAACAAAGTTTTGGTACAGACTCTTCTTCCCTCTTCTGGTACGAAATTGAATAATCTATTTTGATTATTGAATTCTGGAATTGGATTCGATTCTCATATTCGATTATCTGTTGGCAAATCTTGTTCTTGATACTTACTTTTCTCCATTCATGTTTGTTTACAGTTTTTTTTCTTTTGATAATTGTTTACAGTTTGCTAAACTCTAAAAGCTTTTTCTTACAGATTTTAGGAAATTGCAGCAATCAGCAAAACATGGCACCGAAAAAGAAGATACCAACCATGATTTGGGTACAGACTCATACTCTCCAACCATGATTTGATTTACTGTTTCAATAGCAAATATTCTGTTCATGTTTCCTAAACCATAGAAGCTTACTTTTTCATTTAGGTCAGGAAATCACAACAACCAGAAAACATGGCAAAACCTGCAAAGGACAAGAACAAATCGCTACTGGACTGTTCTTCTCTCCTCCAAGAGCTACCACCAAGTTCCGATTGTGTAATAACTCTTTTTATCCCTGAGTGTTTACTACTTCTTAATTTTTTCGCATAATTACGAGTTTGAATTCGAAAATTTGATTTGGTTCTTCGTTTTCATGCTTGTTGGCAGATGTAGTATGGTAAAAAAAAGATTTGAATCAATCCAGATGTAGTTTTACGTATACAATTCATTGTCTGAACTGATATGTGATTAAATCTTCTCTGTTCATGTTTCAATTGAGAGCAATTTTGTAAATTTTTCTTTTTAGGTTTCAAAATTGCAGCTGTCTTTACCTCCAACAGCAAGGAAAGAGAAGACATTTTCCATCCCAGACTGGTCTCTTCTCCCTGAAGAGTTACTCAACCTTATCTCCAAGCATCTAGAGGATTACTGTTTCGATGTTGTACATGCTCGCTCTGTTTGCACCTTGTGGCGATCCTTATTTCCCTTTCCTTCTTCCTTGTTACGCCCGAGTTACTCTCTTCCCTCGTTCGACAAGTTCCCTCGCAAAAGCAAAGGTTTTTGCACCCTCAAGAAGGTCCCTTTGTTCCTCTTTAATGTCCGAGCTCCTCATGCTGATGCTTCTGAGTATTTTCTGGGAGGAATAGGATGTGATGATGATCATGTAGAGCTTCCATCTCCTCTTCAATGTTCAGTGAAAGTGAAGATCCCGGATTCTGATCCAACCTTGATTAACATGCTTGACTGCCAGGTACTCGCTCTCGGCCATCAGTATAGAATGATTGGTTGCAATCCTAAAGGTTACAAAGGCGTAGCTTTTCTTCCGCTAAACAAGAATGGGGGAGGAGAAGAATTCGTTGTGCTCCTCAACTACACTAAGAATTTGTTGATGTTAAGAAGTACTGAAATGAGATGGATGCTGCTTGAGAAATACTCAATTGCTTCATGCTCGGATTTAATCACTTTTAGAGGCAGATTTTATGCAGCCTTTCTTAACCATGACATTTTCGTTATCGATCCTTATTCGCTAGAAGCGACTCCCTTGATGCCCTCGGAGCTTCTGGACTGTGGTTCAGTAAATGATCTGGTTCCATGTGGCAATGATGAACTTTTCCTGGTGGAGAAAATCATCCCTCGTACTGGTGTATTATACTTTAGTCGGTTAACATTAAGAGTGAGTAGGCTAGATGAGGAGGCTGGTAAATGGGTCGAAGTGAGCGAAATAGGAGACCGTTTGTTGGTCATTGGAGATTTGGGAAATGTCTGCTGCTCGGCTAAGGAGCTTCCTGATGGTTGTGGTTTGAGTGGGAACTCAATTGTGTTCACCCATGGGCCAGGCAATGTAACTTACTCCTACAAATATGGTGTGCATACAGGACGTGAGGAAGATGACCTCAATTGTTGGAGATACTCAAGAGAGAAACGCGTGACGATCCTCAGCACATCTCCAGTGGTGGCTCTCCGAGTTGAGAGCGCTAAGCCGTAAAATCTTTACTTTGGATACTAAGACGTTTGTTGGTTTTGTGATCTCTGATGTTGTAGTGATATTCTAGTATAAATATAATTTAGTTCACAAACTTGTCAACACAGTGGGCTATGAAACTTTCGTCTATAAATATGGAGTACATACAGGAAACGCGGAGGACGATCTCACTTTCTGGAGATTCTCAAGGGAGAATCCTGTAAAAAATTTCAACAAATCTCCTCAGGTATTATACTAATTTGCAGTGATCACTAGCAGAACACAAGTACAACTTTGATAAGGTAGTGCTCTGTTTTGTTTTGCAGGATACCTTCTCGTCTCAGTGAAATTCCACTTTATGGTCAATACTTTCATGGCAGCAGATTGTTAAATTAAACAAAGTGCACAAGTCTTACTCTGAAACCAAGTCCATTAATAAATACGGAAACCAAGAAGACAA